TATTTGTTCACAAGCAATTGGACAGGTGTGCCTAATATAGTGGCCAGTAAGCATATATACTATTATTCAGGATAAGAGTCCTTACTGAGAATTTGATGTGGTATTGTAGAAAGCAGTAATAGCTTCTGAAAATGCAGATTTGCTGTCACATAAATTAACAAAAGAATTGTAATATTATTTACATGTTTAGCAGTGTTTGATAAATCAAATAATAGCATCTTTTGTGTAGGGGAGTGGGCGAAGAGTAAACTTCAGGCATTAACTTTTGTGTCTGTCTTCATCAAAGAACAATATGAGATAAGTGTGCGTTTCAATTTGTTGAGCAAAATGACCCCAAGCTAAACTCTTGAGTATATAATAAAGAGAGTGTGCCACTCAACTGCCAAAGCATCCAACATTGTTAGGATGAAGCCAAAACTGTTCATTTTTAAATGTCCCAGTAATGCCAAAGTGATAGTAGTCAAAATTTACTGCAATGCCTCATTTATAACACATTTCAGTGTCAGCAACTACTGCAGCTGTGTTGCTATGAATTTTTAATTTAAGCGTTGATTGTGTTATTTCGGGTATGGTTGCAGTATCTGATGAAGTGAGCTGGTTATTTATAAAAAAGAGAAAGAAAAAACTTTGAGCAAAGAAAAAAAATCCTTGTTAAGGTGAAAATGTTAAACAGTAAATCGTACATATCATTTCAAAATCAGCTACCTGTTTTAAGGCATTCAGACCTTCATTTGTCTCTACTGCATCTAATGCTCTAATGCTTTCATCAAATCTAGAAACATCCATGCTAATAACATGATGAATATTGTGAGTAGCATAAACCAAAGACTTTTTATCACCACAGCAATAGTGTGATAAATGTTCTAGAAACATGCTAGCAAAGTTTTAAAAGGCACATTCTAATACATGTTAGCAGCATGCTAACAAATTTATCCTAGCATAGTAGAAACATGCCCGCAGCATAATAAGTGATGATAAAATAGGGCAAACTTGTTACTGTAGCATACTTATTCAGGTTAACGATATGTTGACCAAATTTGCATTGTGCTAAACATTGTTGAAATGTCATGGTAACATGATGAAACGTTAAAACATGCTAACAACTCAAGATGTTCGCTTGTTTTAGAAATACAAATTGCAAACTAGGCTAGAAGTGTATTAAAATATGTTAGCAACATACTGACAGTATACTGCACTACAACATGATAGCATAAAACATGTTAGCAGCATTTTGCTTTCGTGTATGCTTTTTCTATTTGACACGCTGTCAAAGAATAAAGTTAAGCAGTATTCTTGCACACTTTCAATGCTAGCAAACATACTATTTAAACATGCAACAAACATGTGATATCAAGTTTACATGGTTAGCATCCCTCATCTAGTTAGCATACTTAGCAAGATAGCATATTAGTTAAAACATTCAACAAACTCAGTGTGATCACTGGTTAGGTCTGTATTAAAATATCATATTAACATGCTACCACTTTATTGAGAAGTAAAAATACTTCCTAATCTACATAGTTGTAGAGTTTGTAAGGGAAATGTGTTGTGTCACAGTATTTTAAAGAGATTTTTAAGGTTTCATCTTATTAATGGTTGATGTATCTAATTAATGACAAAACAACAAGGCCCTGAAGGATAGAAGTAACAACATGTCAGTCTTTGTGCTGATGAAACTCATAATATTTAGTGCCCTGAGACAGGTTTGAAAAAGTTTGTAATTTTAATTTGGTTTAGGAACATGGCATTGTCATTTAGTTCATGGCATTGTCAAAATAATAAGTTTAGCACTTACAGCCTCATGTTCATCTGTAAAATTCTAGAACACATCTAAATACTCAGTTTATTATGTTTTAATATATTATATTATATTGTATTATATTATATTATATTATATTATATTATATTGTATTGTATTGTATTATATTATATTATATTATATTATTCTTCTTAAATATTGTTTACTGCCTTTAAACATAGTCTTTCTGATTTAGGAGGTCAGAGTACCAAATTTAAACTTAAAAACAAAAGCCAATATTTCATTTATTTATTTTTTTTATTTTGCATAAAAATTAGTTTTAATACAATCATATTTTAGGGAATTGCCAGCTCAACAGTGTACCATGTATTGATCAGACTGCACTTCTGTCCTGAACAGCCTCATTTCTGCTGCCATCGTCTCCAACTAAAGTCTGAAGAAGCCATTAGTACAAGGTTGAAATATTTCTCTCTAAAGCCTTCTTCAAACTCACCCATCCTGAAAGGCTCTCTACCAGGTAAAATCATTACTTTTCTCAGCTCAAGAACTGTGCTTGGACACATTACGGTGGCACTTTATTTTTATAGTACATTTGTCCATGTCCAACTACAGTATGCAATTATTGTCATAATTATAGTAACTGGGTAATAAATTAGTACTGGCCAATAATCTTCATTTAAAAGAAAGAAATGATTACATTCTACAGAAAACCAAATGAGCTGCACACTTGCAGACAAGAAATCTGCAGCTTTGAAGCATTTCATCTGGAGAAAAATGTGGTCATGTGATTTTAACAAATATATATGTATATATATATATATATATATATATATATATATATATATATATATATATATATATATATATATATATATATACGCATACAAACATACATACATACCTAAAAATGTTATCAGATATACTGTGAAAATGTCCTTGCTCTGTTAAACATCATTATGGAAATATTTAAAAACGAATTATACATCAAAGGGGGGCCTATAATTCTGACTTCAACTGTATATTTAACAAACATGTGCGCACAAACAGGGGCACCGCTGGTCGGTCTGTCATGAACAAAGTTGATGACGGGGGTGGGGGTTTTTGATTGGGCCCCCCAAGAGTAACTCTGTTGGCCCCAAAACGGCAAGGGCCCTTAGAATCATCCCAACTCGCCCATGTGCACAAAACTAAATCCCACTAGAAATCAGTTCTGATACTATAAATAACTTTTGTGTTTTTTTTTTTTTTCCAATTAATTAATTATTTACTATGTGACTTTTGCAGCTTATACTAATGAATTCATTTAAACAGAAATTTAGCTTTGCATTTTATCTTTCTGTCTATTTATTTAGTTGGTCAC